CCTATATTTTTCTCGTCGCGCAATCTCCATAGCCAAAATTCTTCAGTCGCAAAGTATGAACACAGCCTAACGAAGGTTGTTGATGAGAGGATCTTGCTTGTTTGCGTGCTTACTAAGAAAAAAAAATCCCTCGCTCCCACAGTCTTGGCCCAAGAGAGCGCCAGATGAGGATGTGGGAAGGGCAGTCTTCGTTTTGCCGCGTAACCTCCTTCAACTACCAGAGTCCGACGGAAATTGGGAATGGCTTGAGGAGATGTGATTTTTGGAGCCCTTTATAGAGATATCGCGCCTAAAATTCAGTAGACAGCTTATTTTCTTTTCCTCCAGGCTATCGTTTTCGTTTTTTTTTCGTTTTTTTTTCGTTTACAAGGCTCATGAAGTAGTATGATTACCATTATTATCATAGAAACCTATTTTAGGATTCGATGGCGTTTCAATTGAAGAAATTGCAGCAGCTATGCAGCAGATGCAGGATCGCTTCTAGGTGTGATATTTTATCATTTTGAGGCTTAATTGAGTCATTAGAGGCACAATTCCACGATGAACATACGGGCGGGATTAGGCGTACCACTGTGCCTTTCCCACTAGTGCATTTCAATCATTCGAGTAAGAATGGTGCACCAATGAGGAAAGCATTGTTACGTCCGATTCCGAACTCATAGTCTGCGTAGAATGTCACTTCAGGCGAAAGTTCGCTTAATGGCTGGAAACGAGCTTTCTCCAACCACGTATTCTGATTATCTGGCCTGCTCGCTGCTCGAAATTCTTTCATTTTTAGGGTTTATTCCACCGACTCAAGCTCACCAAAGGTTCAGCCGTCTACTAGTGCTAAAGCTGAGAAGAAGAAAACCGTGTTTCTGCCCCGAACATCTTTCGTGAACCATGTGAAGTCGTCCGAACGCGGTTTACTTGATCAGCAGCTGGCTAGTTCTAGCGGCTTATCGACTCTGTACGAGTGGCAGCGAGGACAAGTCGACCGTAAGGAAATGTATGTCATATTTACTGTTAGACTTTTCACTTTTTGTTCCTTTTTCATGATCACAAATCGTAATACGCCATAGACAATCCGCCCCCCCGTAATACGCCGTGCAGGTGGGCATAGCATGCGACGTCGCGCGTAAACTACGATGTTTCTATGCCGTAAACGGCGTCAGTAGACAATGTATAGCCAGAAATAGCCGTACATTTACACGATGTTGTAGTCTACATGTAATCTGGTGCTTCAATCGACACAAATGCAAATTATCCTGTTGACTGTACGTTCGCGACGTAGCGGCCTATTACGGTTGTGTCCTCCTCCACCCCACTACGCCCGCGGGTCGGTGTGCGAACAGCGAGAAATTTCTATCGCAATCTTCCGACCTCCATTGCAATCACAGAGCCGGTATGCTCCCATGATCGCACCCGTTCGTGTCCGTTTCCTTCCGTCCCGTCCCGTTCTAGCCTTTCAGAGCTTTCTGGGAGTCTCAAAACGACTATTTCATACCTTTTTTTGTTGAGGGGTGTTGTGTGCAGACTGTGTCCTGGCTGGAGTCTCAACCACTTGGAAGCAGCGTACATAATCGTTGTGCGAACCCATCAGGGGAGGGGCTGGTATTCGATCCCTGTGTGGTGGGGGTCGTAACTGGATCCGAGAATTTCTTCACAATAGTTGGCTTTCCCGTTTTATGCATGTTATACTCCCCTATCCTCTCGTTTGCTGGCATTGAAGCTACTAGAGGTGGTAGTCCCGGAGGAGAGGAGGAGGAGGGGGTGGGGGTCGTTTGACACTATTTGACCTATCCAAAAATGTACCTTACTTGGTAATCCTAAATTTCGGAAATGCTGCCGACAGCAATGTGAAGTGACTTCAAACAAAGTAGACCTGAATAAACCGTAACACTTGAAGTTTTCTTGAAGATAATGTGAAGGTTCCGTTTAGTTTTGAACTGCTGGATGGTCCTCCATATGCGAATGGTGTGGTGCATACTGGACACGCTATCAATAAGATTTTGAAAGATTTCATCGTTAAGAGCAGGATTGCTCTGGGATACAGGTATATTTCTTGATGAGTGTTGTCGATAATGACCAATGTCCTAGTCCAGGCCACATGAAGTAACCCATAAGCCTATTCTCGTCATCCTGCATTCCAGGGTCCGATTTCGTCCAGGTTGGGATTGTCATGGTCTTCCTATTGAGCTGAAGATTAGCAAAAGTGTACAGGTACCTGTAACTTATTGAACTTCTGTTGTTTCTTCTAGGAATCCTGTTCAGGGGAAGTCACCTCTGGAGATCAGAGCGCTGGCTCGGCAAGTAGCGAATGAAGCTATTGGAAAGCAGCTAAATTCATTCAAGTGAGTATTATATTTTCTTTGCGTCTGTAATTTCACAGTGAAGAGAAGCTACAGCAGCGTCTGGAAAACGTATGCTTGTTTTTGCGTGACTTTTGCTCAGTTAATTTATATTTATATCTCCTATTACAATTTTATCTTCGTTTTTTGTAGTACACCTGTCTTCTTCGGTCCCACTGATTGAATGAATACATGAATTTGCCACTCGGCGTTTTGAGAGAATCACTGTTCTGAGCGAATCGGTGATTCAGGATAATCGACGTTTAAACGGAAGGGAGAGCATAGGTATCGATCTGGCTTCGGGAGAATCAGCGTTTTGAGCGAACCGCGTTCTGAGCGATAAGCATAGCATAGATATCGATCGGCATAACGCAGATCCGGTGAAAATGCTGATTCTCCCAAAACCCTTAGCGACAGGCGCCGGTCAATTTTTATACTATCCTTTTCGCTCAAAATGCCGATTCGCTCGAAAGATTGATTCTTCGGAAGAGCCAGATCTGTACTTGTACTATCTTTTTCGCTCAGAGTGTCGACTCGCTCGGAAGGCAGATTCCCCCAAAAGCCGCTTCCCTCTTAAAGCCGCCAGTCTGTGGACGGCAGCTTTCAAAAAACAAGGGGGGGCGGCGTAGAAAACAGTGGTACTTAGCAATAGTTAAGTGCTTCCACTCACACAGCAGCGTGGAGTATGCCTTTAAAGTGCCCTAAATAATTTCTGTAAAATCTCATATGCGCAGTTCCTTTCTACTTATTTAGACGATGGGGTGTGTCGGCTGCGTGGTCAGAACCATATCTTACTATGGACTCGATGTACGTCTCGGAGCAGTTACGATTGTTTGCGAAGATGGTCGAAAAGGGAATTATCTACAGGGCATTCAAGCCCGTTTATTGGTTCGTATTATCGTCATTCTAAATTTTTTTTTGTCAGAGAAACATTAAGCGATTATCTGAGAAGTGAAGTGCCTTTCCCTGTTCAACCAGGGCAGATCTGCTGACGCAAAGGATTACCACCCAAATACTTGTGATTATTTGATGTTGTTGGTGTCCCCGCCCATATGTACGCCATGCGGCCGTGTCGTGGGTTATGCGTCCCTGTTATCGAGCCCAGCGATCACTATCTCGGTGGGAGGACGCAGTCGAAGAGGGCGTATGGCAAACTATCTCGAGCCTCATACTTTCTTGCTGTGCATTTTCGAAAAGCGGAGGTGTTTTTTCACGGCTTCATACCTCCGAATTGTATACTCGGGAGGATTCTCACTTCTCAGGTGATCGCACATAGAGCCTTTAAGTAGAGTGCTATTCTGTAGGTCACCAAGTTCTCGCACTGCGTTGGCGGAGTCAGAATTGGAATATAATGATAAACATACGAGCACTGCTGTTTATTTCCGATTCAAAGTCAGTTATGTGGCTCTTTCTTGCGATTGGGTGCTTCGCCCCAAACATCTGTTAAGGTAATCGACATCAGCTTGAAGGATCTCGCAGTTTCAACCGATTTTGGATCAAAACCAGTTGTTATCTACTCTCTTGTGAGTCCTCTCTCGATCATTGCTTTGATTTTTCAACGCTAACAAGTTGGAGTGGACCACACGGCGAGACTATGCTCCGCGATTATGCTCGTCTGCGCTATCTGCGAAGAAGAAATTGTCACTATACGAAAGGCGCAGAAGAACAGAGCTACTCACGCTTCCGTGTGGCCCAACTGCGTTAATGCCGAACTTTCGATTGCAGTTTTCTTGATCGAGCATGTCTCCACTATATTCGGAGACATCAGGAGGCGGTAGCGTAGTTAGGAGGGGGACGACCACTTGGCCGCGCCTCTGTACCCCTTCTCTAAAAAGGTCCAAGGTAGGAGCGCAGACAACCAGAGTCCGGCAGATGGTCTCGTAGAGAATGCAAATTCCAGCCTGAGCCTTGATTGGAGGAAGTGATACAATGGCGCGGCCGAATGGTATCCCCTCCTTGTTCAACTCAATAAGCACGTTAGCGCGTTTGGATAACAGTGCCTCAACAGGCTTTTTCACCATAGATATGGACTTCAACGCCCTGGACGCTTCCTCTCAATAATGCCATATGTATCTCTCCAGGCTCAACATATGCGGTTGTACGTTTCGACGATACTGTCAAGTAAGCTGGTTATTTTTTATTAAATTGGAAAGAAAATAATGTACAATTGAGGGTGCCAAAATAATTCTCTCATAAACTCAAAACAGCGCCGGCGAAGTTACTCGATTATGCCCTTTATATAATACGCCACTGCGGCTCTGCCGATCGTGTGGAGAGCAATTGTGGGTATCCCCTTGACCGGAACAGGGCATAGCGTATGATTGGGAATGATCGGTTCCCTTTTTAATGTTTTGAGGGATTTCGACGTTTTTCGCTGCGAATGAGAGAGTTGAGCTGTTTCCACATTTGCCTCATGAAGCTCCCACAGATTCTCTGCCTCCACCCTTACGGTTCAACAATCCGTCAGAGCTGAGGAAAATACAGTTTTGTAGAGTTCGGTTTATCAGCGGAATGAAAGGACGCCATCCAGGCCCAAGTACGGAAAGTGCACGGCGGCCAAATCTATTATTTTCAGTTGTTGAAGCAGGTACGAGATAACAACTGGTAGAAAACTGTAGATGTAGAATTGGTAGAGTGATACGATGATATGGTCTCGTCAGCTCGCTTCAGTAGCTGGCCTAGAAACGGTTTGGCACCGCGTCAAACTCATCCCGCCTGACACGCCCCTTCGTCCGCAGCGAACTAACCTATATACTTACTCTGCTGTGAAGTTTCCTGAATGATCTCGTCAGCATTGACAATGGCTGAAAAAACTGTGGGAAACCCACAGGTTCACCATTACTTTCTTTCTAACTGATATTCCTGTAGTCTAACTTGTGTTGCGCAGGCTTCCGATTGCTGAAGGGTAATGCCTCGTTGCTGAAGCTTTGCTCCCCTCACTTACGAATGCCATAGGAAGGCCTGCTACAGTTCTCGGTCGCTTCAAAGGAGAGGTACTGCTCGGGAAACACTACAAGAGTTGCTGGTAAGGGCCCAACAATTGAAGAAGTTTTCAAAGAGCTATGAAGCAATGTCGAGTGCTGGTCAGGAGGTCCATGTTTACGGCGTCGCGAGGAGTAGTGTTTCCTAACAAGTTGTTTGTACATGCTGCCATTCTCACGTCTGATTGACAACGAAAACCTGATGGCACGTGACGTTTCTTTGCGAATTTGGCCGCAGTCGCGCAGCGTGAATTCCTGACCCCGCTTTAGAATGTCAACCTTATCGTTAACTTTTTGCTGTGTATCGATTTTTTATTTCGTGTAAAAATTTTCATATATCTCCATGCAAGAACTTACCCTGCTGTTCAGTTTTATTTGTTGATTTTGAAGGTATAATGAATTGGCTCTACCGATCTTGGCCGGTGATCATGTGACGATGGCGATGGGGAAATGGCCCTTCTGTAGCATACCTCTTTTTGCCCATGGTTCACTGAATTATCAGGTTTCGTAATTTTCCCGTTTTCGGGTTGCCTTGATAAGTATGAAAATGTTTGAAATGGGGCTCAAATTTTATTCCTTGGCTGTCTCTGCCTTTGCCTGTCTTTTTTCAGTTACCTAAAGACATCCCCGCGCTCAAGCAATTAGTGGGCATCATTTCCTATACAAGTAGTCTGGCCCTCAGTCTTCAAGACCGTCTCGACTTCGCGGCTTCACAAGCGACTATTGAAGCTAGAGGTTGCAGAATATCGCTTTGCCGGTGTAAAACAAGCGGTCGAGCCGGAGAACCGTCCAGAGAGGCTACCGGGAGCCCTCACGGCGTTCTCTAAGATTTTTTTACTTTTCTCTTCCTCGTGAGTCACTTAGCGACTGTAGGTTCGTTATTGAACGCCATTACCTTGAGTATGTAATCGCGGGGTTTATCTTTAACGTTTTCGAGTTTGCCATGGGTGTATGATAGATAGCCGTCGAAAACTTGAGAAGGTCCCTGATAACTTGAAGTTGAGATCGGTTTTGATGTTGGTTTAGTTCCGGTTCAATTTCGGCTCGAAGCCGCGAATTCCAGATAGCTGTGGACGGGAACTATAAGGTTGAAAGTTTTGGATGAAGGATGGTCGTTACACAAGGCATCTTGGGACCGATCTTGAAGGAAAAGACGTGCTTGGTGAAGGACAGCGTGAGGTTATAAGGTTTGCCTTTCCAGCCATACGATAACTAATTGGTACACTACCAATTGAGTACTTTCCAATACACACACTAAGTTATAATGACATCACCCTCTGGAATTTCTTTTGCTGTTCGCTGAGCTTTATCTCTCTTGCTTATTATGTCTAAGTCTTGTTGCTGCTCAATCAAATATTTTTCATTTTGATCAAGTTCTGTCAATCTACTCTCGAATCTTTAACAAGCCAATACTTTCTTCTCTTTATTAGACATTCTTCTGCGCATCGTAGCTCTTTTGTTCTAGTTTTTTGCGCTTTATTTTCTCTAACGTTCCCTCCAGATCTCTTTCTGGATTTCTTATATTTGTATATTTTTTATCGCTGTTTTTCCTTACGTCATTCTGATAGGAACTGCAATTCTCTCAGAGCGCGCTTATACTTCGGTGGTCGATCGCGCGATCCAACCGCTCGAGATGCTCCTTTCGCCGTTGCCAAGGCGATCGATGCTAAGTATTAGGTTGTCCGGAAAGTTCTCAGCGTTTTGGGTGTTTCACTTTAAACGATCGTAACTTTTTAATACTCATCGGATTTAATCGAAATAGGCACCATTCGAATCAGCACACTTTTGCCAATGTGACAGCAGTCGAGAAATCCCATCAAAGTAAAAAACTGGGTGGTCGAAAATTCACGAAATCCACTAAGGCTTTTTTGCCTGGTCCTGATTGATGAAGTATTTTCCAGCAAGGGAGTTCTGAAAATGTTAGAAAAGGTGATAGTCGGTTGGCGAAAGGTCTGAAGAATATGGCGGTTGAGGTAGAACTTCAACCCCAATTCGTTCATTTTGGACATAGTGGATTTGTGAGTTGGGCGGGCGTTGTCATGCAAAGGAATCGGACCCTTTCTTTTGATAAGTGTTGGCTGCATCTGACAAAATTTTCGGTACAATTCGTCGATTTCTTCACAGTAGGGTTCTGCTGTGATGGTTTGGCCTGGTGATAAAAAGTTATAGTGGATCACACCAGCCGATGACCACCAAGCCGTGACCAGAATCTTTTTTTCGTGAGGGTTCGGCTTTAAAATTACCTCGGTGGTTCGTCGAAATCCAACCACTGTCCGGAACGTCTCCTGTTATCATACATGACCCATTTTTCATCACAGGTGACAATTCGGTCCAAAAACAGGTCGTTTCTGCTGCGCAAAAGCAATGCAGAAGGAACTCGAGACGTGCCGATTCCTGCCGGTCACTCCGATTGTGGGGCACCCAATTGTCGAGTTTTTTCACCTTCCCAATGCGTTCCAGACCATCTGCAACAGTGGATTTGCCAAGGCCTAGCTCTTTCTGCTATCTCTCGAACTGTTTGGGATGGGTCAGCCTCCAAAATCCCCTAAAATCCTCGTCAGATATTGCTTTAGGTCGAACCGCTTGTATGGGTTCATCTTCAAGGCTGAAATCTCCAGAACGAAATTTGTTGAGCCATTGCCGCACAGTGCTTTCTCTAGCACTATTGGGCCCCCACACCTGGTTAATTTGTTGAGCTGTTTCGATTGCGGATTGCCCCAATTTATAGTCGAAGAAAAAAATCGTCCGAAGTGCTCTTTTCACATGCTTGAAAAAATCTTGAAAAAAGGGGGTTTATCAAGCAATGGAAACGGCAATTATACCATCAGATAGCGCAAGAAATTCTCTACAGGATGTGCTACTGACAAGGGAGGTCGTTCAGGCCGTGGTGAGCTTTTTCAAAACGGTTTGTTGCATGTTGGGGCATGCGAGGACCACAGCGATGGGGTTCATTTTTGCTAAACGGTTTTGGGAATGTCAAAAAAAGGTCAAAAACAATTCGAAAAGAATGGGCTTTTTAAACCACCTTATTCCCCTCTATTCTAGCTGTAGCGTTGACAGTGTATAGTATGTAGGGTATTCTTTGAGCAGGCATGAAGAACAGCGCAAAATAAGGTCAAAATCCAAATGGTCTACTTGGCATGCGGTGAGCTCCATTGGAGTTTTTCGGTCATCTGCGCATATCTCTTCAACAGGTCCTGTATCGCAGTGTTCGCAGTGGCAGTTGGTGGTGGTTGGATTAGTGCGACGTTGACGTGTGGTTTGTGGATCGATCCCCTCGACTCGGTTCAATTTTTGCATTTTTCACATTTCTTGCTTCTTGTATTCCTGTATGCCCCATAATGTGTATGACCCGGATATACGCCATTTGAAGGCACATTCCATGCGGGAACCGTTCACAAATTGGCCTCACTCAATTATTGCGCTCGCGAAATACTATCGAAAAAACTCTTCATGAAACTTGGTTACGGCGGTTATCCGATGCTCTGATCATGGACACAGACACTGATTTTTGAATATGGCGCAATGTATCGCTAATTTAGGGCAAAGGTTTTCTCGTACTACCATCATTGTCAGTCTGCGCGGCGGGGCTATTTAGCGCCGTACTGGCCCCAGATGGCCTTCGCGGCAAAAATAAGTATCTGAACCGTGATCAGGACCATCAATTACCCCTACGTATAGAGTTACGCCGAGAAAATTTTCCCGAGCTTTTTGTGTTTATGTTGCCGGCCATGTCTCCAGCTAGTGGCTATCAGCCCCCCCCCTCCCCCAAGGAGTCGTTATCCAACATCGTTAAGAGGAAGCTTTTCATTTGCTAGTATGCAGACGCAGAATTAAAAACTACACAAAAAAGTGACGCACATACACTGCACTCCTCTCATACCTTTGATATGAGAAACAAAAACCTTTCTTCGGGCAAGTGGTAACGAGTTCTTTCTCGAAAGCATAGACGGTAAAAGTGAAGAAAATCCAGGATGCTCGTTAGTGGCTCCGAAGCTAGCAAGATGTTCTATGAAGACCTACTGAAGTTGAGGGGCAAGAAAAGAAAAATTTCTCGCGGTTCGTCTGCCAGAGGGAATACTTAACGGAGGGTTCGCCTGTCACTGCCATCCAAGGGGTCAGGTCCATGACCACTAAAGAAACTCGAAAAAAATTTTTCGCTGAAACCTTCTCAAACAGGGGTAATCAATGGCCCTGATCACGATTCTGACAATTATTTATGGCGCCGACGTGATCTGGGGCCAGCGTGGCGCTAAAAGGCCACTGCGAGCGCGAAGGGATGCTGCATAAGCCCCTAAAGAAATTGCAGTGTACCTCACTGTATGCCAAGTAAGGCACTTGTATTTCGACCTTATTCAATGTTATTTTTCATGTCTAGTTGAGAAACACTTTAAACTCTTTGTATTCTGCTTTACAGCTGAAACAGATGCGAATGAGATGATAAAACTTGCGTATTTAAGCGATTTGTTTTTATTCCTTTTTTGACATTCCCAATAGCGTTTAGCAAAAATGAAACCCGTCTGTGTGGTCCTTGTATGGACCCCTACAACATGCAACAAATCGTTTCGAAAAAGCTCACCACGGCCTGAACGACCTCCCTTGTGAGAAGCAAGGCAGAATGAGTTTTTAATCAGCAGTGAATGTACAAAAAATAGGTGCACAAAACGCTGAGAACTTTCCGGACAACCTAATATTAACGCGCTGTTATCATTTATCTCAGCGATAGATGTTTTCAGAATACTTCGAAAAGACGTTCTTCATCAGGACAAATATAAACACTCCTATCCTTACGACTGGCGGACTAAGAAGGTTTGTTATGCTATGTCATTTCCATGAACTTCTTCCCTTCATGGTAGTAATTACGGTTGTCGGTGCAGCAGCCCAGAGACAGCTGCTTCGCAAGTAGGGCCACAAGAGCTGGGGGGGGGGGTCACGCGACGGACTTTTGAAACTTCCTTTATCACCATAATTGCCAGTTTGACCGAGCTCCGAGCGTAGGCTACAGTTAAGTTTACCCATTTATGTGTGATAGACTTGAATTCGTCCAGAATCTCTACACTCTACTCGGGAATGTAGAGAGCGTAGCTACATGGTTCCTTCAAAGGTGGGCTATATCTGCGCTTTTGGGTGTGGAGCATTACTTCCCAGTCGCGGCGAGGCGGCAAAATGGGCGTTGCGATTGGGATGACGTACGCTGCATTCGCACCTGGACCAAATCCTCCCAACGTTGCGGTGCTGCAGTCCTTCGACTCTCTTCACTCTCTGCGTCTCCGTTTCTCAAGTCGACCAGTTTTCTATGTGTTTGTCTAGTCAACTAGCTAAAAAATTCCTCTGCGTCTGTGCCGCGATGCCGCGACTGTGAAGCACCGCCCACACCCTTGTCACACCGATGTTTCGCGCAAGCCGCAAATTTGAGCGATATCGCGCCGAGATCTATGCCACCCGTAAAAGTTTTACTACATTCTACATTTCAGCCTGTGATTATCCGAAGTAGTGCCCAATGGTTCTTTGATGTGTCGTCAATTGGGAAGCGTGCAGCCGAGCTTGCTGAAGGAATCAAGATTGGTAGCGATGATTCGGGTCAGTTTTGCATAGATTCAGAGCTATAGAGAGTTGAACATTCGACAACAAACTTCTGAAAATCTCTCTTTTGAGAGTTTTCTCCTGCTCCTGTATGTAGCGGGATTCTTTGATGCAAGTCCTGATGAACTTATATCACCTGTTCATTATTGATTCTCTTCTGAATTGATGTGACTACACCAGTTAAGGAGAGCTTTTCATCATTCATTGCGCTTCCTGTGAGAAGTTGTGTTGGTTCAACCATTTTGTGAACGAACAACACCACATGTGCTCTTGAACAGTTGCAATTTGACTCGTTCATGTACCATCTAAAAACCAGCTAATTTTTCAAGAGTCTCGAAATTGAAGCACAACAGACGAAGTGCCGGTATTTGACTCTATCCCTTCCGCAAATGTGAGCAGACACGAGATATAACGGATTAGACGTTCTTTCTGGACTCACAGAATATATTTCGGAAAAAAGCAAAAACCCGAACTTGCCAAGGAATCGAACCCCTGACCTCGCAACTGTGAAGCAACTTACCTATCCACTACACCATCGACCGCTTATCACTGCGGACTTTCGAACTCAACTTGAGCTAGCACAAAAAGTATTCGGCGGGTACTGTGTTGGACCCCCCCCCTAACTCCTTCTAGAGAATCGTTCCGCAAATTCTGAAAGCAGATTTGAGTTCAGTGTCCCGAGACGCACACGCCAATATGCATCCCATCCTGAATGGCCATGGCGACCTGTTGACCTTTCCTGGTAAGCAAATTATGAAGCGAAGGGATTGGTATGAAGCGGCCGTGATGCTGCATGCATACATGGGTACACATATGCAGCCGTATCTTCGGTAGCGGTGATTGGTAAGATGCCTACGGGAAACTCGTCCGAAATCGATTTTCAAGTCACTGAGAACGGAGGCTTTTCTTCGCAGGATTTTGACCGTTTCACTCCGTTCTTTCGCCATTTCCCCACTATACAGCGCCCTACTAGCATTTTAGGCTAAGTAGGAAACCATCGTGCCAACTGCCTTTAATGGTCTACTTGCTACATGTTTTAATAATTCTGAGCCCTACAACCTGCCAAAGTCGATCGCGGGTGCTGTTTTTAAGTGTTAGAATTAAAAGCTGTTCATGGCAAAATGCAGCGCAGACGGCTCGTTGACTGGAAAGAAGGCGCCGAGTTACCGCTGATTGCATCTAGAAAAAAACATTATGCTATACGAACTTTATAAGATCATCAGCAAATAGTCATCTACAGATTTCTATCCAAGAGCGCGAGGCGCTGTAATTTGATATGGAGGCACGTCCAGCCGCTGGGGAAACTTTCGGGTAATACAACCCCTACACCTTCCTTTGATACGACCTCTCCTGTATCATCGACGAGCAAATGCGACCCGACGCTTGGGACTTTCCCAACGATGTGATGGCACCCGTGAAACAAGAAAGATCAACTATTCAAATAAATTTTCTCGGACCAAATACAACCGCCCCTCCCCTTTCCCCTTGGGATTCCCCAACGTACGGCATACCCTATTTACTAACCACTGTACCTAAACCAAAACACCTCAGATAGGGGCTTCATCGCACAAAACGAATTCGCTGCAAAAAGAGGATACTATATGAAACCCAAGAAACGGGAAAAAATCGCGAAAATTCAAGAACCGGTAAAATTCCATTGGAGCTCGGAAAAGCTTCTGTCAAGGCCAAAACGACTCCCCCCTCCCCACCCCTATGGGATTCTCTTGAGGATGCTGTACCCCATGCCCGATATCTCTTACCACCCCCGCTGATATGAGATAAATCAGTTTAACAAAGGATCTTCTGTTTCTTTAGATTTGTCCAACACACTACGACGAATGGTGTCATCGCGGCCGTCGTGGTGTATTTCTCGTCAACGTGTGTGGGGAACGCCTATACCGGCTCTTGTGGATGCAAACGGTATGAAATGAGAGGCTTTGATTCCCAAATAGTCATCTGCCTTACAATAAAACGCATGCGGTTGTGTGATGCAGCGTGGAACGCGAATTAGCGGCTATGATACAGATCTCAATTAAGGGCAGGTAAAAATAATGACAAACGCGCTTCACCGCCAAGTGTAGAATCGCGCTACACTTGGCGGTGAAGGGCTCACTTTCATCACAATGGTGCAGCTTTGTTTGTTGCGGATGATAGGACGTGTCAGGGGAGGGGAGATGGCTTCGGTGTGGCGCCAGCCCTTTCTCCGCCATTTGTGGAACTGGCAGGCCACTGGTTGGAATTGGGATATTTGTTGGAAAACTATTTGAAAAACCGCCACTCCCCCCCCTCCCTGGCACGACCCAGCGTCAACGAACAAAAGTGAACGCATACAGTCCTGTTCGTGATCTCATGGACAGTGAAGCTGCGTGATGGTTCAACGCTCACCAGCTGCGAGCGTCTGCGACGCGATCCCTTTTTTAGGTGATATAGTTGTGAACTAGCTGAAAGGCACGACCCATAAAAGATTCTTAACGGGTATAGTGGGTTAGGAAGGGGAATGGTTCTTAGCCGCCCTCTGTGTCCCTCGCCCCAGGCCCAGAGCGCAGAAGACCAGCGTTGCCGCGGATAGTCTCGCAGAGAAGACATAGCCTCCACTCAGCATAATGGTTCGGGGAAGAGACAAAGACCCATTAACGCGTTCATACTTCGCGCGATCCGCTCGCTTGAGTTGCGCGATCTGAGGGATCACCTCGCGAAATATAAATGTCTGTTCTGTGCCTGTTCATTTACTGCCAATATCCGAAATAGATATTAAGGAGGTGCATATATATCCAAAGAACTGGTGGAGCATGTCGCCGATCTTGTTGCTAAACAAGGGCCTGACGTCTGGTGGACGTGTTCTATTGACGACTTGGTGACAGAGAAGGTACATGTTCATAAAAGTTTTCGCCCATATTTAATAATTCTATTCTGTTTTACCTTCACTGAGTAGAAAGTCTTTGCAGGTATTGAAATCTCTGAACCTTTCATCAGCTAAGGGACTGTCGAAAGGAACAGATATAATGGATGTGTGGATGGACAGTGGAGTGGCATGGCATTGTGCCAGAAATGCGTATGATGACGCTGATGCTACTGTAACTATTTTCTATATTTTCTCAAAAACACTGGTGCTACAAAAAACGTACCGTCATCACTCATGTCGGTCAGGGCGTATCAGTGAGGCATGGGATGGCGCAGCGCCAGCCCGGTTTCTGTCAGTGGTTGCGGCTTTGATCTCGGTGAGTGGCGGGAAAGGGGCTGGCACCGCCCCGGAACCGCTCGCTGCTGACACGCCTCGACTGAATTCAGTGGTGACGGCTGTACTTCTCGGAAGGACAAGCAGCGAGACTGGGCGGACTGGCTCCAGTAATCTGCGCCGCACTGAGGCTGAGTGCGTAGTGGGGTACAGCGTCGTTGGAAGTGCCTCAAGGGGTCATAGTTGGTCGCCCGGTAGGCGATTTTTCCAATTTTTCCTGTTTCGCTTTATACCCCGTAGTTTGCGGCTGAAGCTACTATTTCTGATTAGTAGGTGTTTTTCGACGTCTCACCCCCTCCCCGCTCAACGGCAGTTTTTTTCGGGCTTACTGGAATTATGTTTAGAGATCTGGGGAAAGCGTAGGATGCTGGAAATGCCTAGGAAGACTTTAGGTAGGATGAGAGGGTTGTACCACAGGAGCGAGTTTTAGGGGGGAGCGTGCCACTTTTCCATCTTGTTCATAAGCAGGTTTGTTAAGAAAGTGTTAATGGAGAGGGAACGATTTCTAGCGTGCGACCGATGCAGTGCTCGAAGGCGTGGACCAGTTTCGTGGTTGGTTCCAGTCGCTCCTTGCTCACATCTGTGGCTGTACAGGTGAGGTCACACAGCTATCTCTTCATTAGCGAAACATGCTGGCATGGTTTTTCAGGATGCTCTCCCCTATAAACGAGTCCACGTTCATGGATTTTGTGTTGACGACAACAACAGGAAAATGTCAAAATCTCTAGGAAATGTAGTGGATCCAGAAACGGTTGGTTTTGAGTGCGAGAAATTTTGGTGTTCTCTAGATGTCAAAAGCAATGAGCTACTTGAAGGCATATTCCGCGATTACCTAATAGGTATGACTCCTTCCTTAAATTTGAAAGTTCACAGCGACACAGAGTGACATCGTCTTGTGTCTCACTTCACGTTTGGAAGAGCGTGAGAAGTGCGTAACAGGTTTGTGAACATGTGATGTCTCCGCCCATGCCAGATATGCACACCCATGAACACGCGATTACTGCGTGGTGGTGCGCTTGGCATTCATGGCTTGACTGGTTGTGGTGACATGCTCTTGCCCCGTCATCTGGTTTCTCCTTCTCGCGTCTAGTGTTTTCCCGGTTCGCTCATCTTCGTGTATTTTGAGTTGCGCAAATCAGCTGTGAGAATCGAGGTTTTCTTAGCCCATCGTTGACGAGCTTTTTTTTTTCTTTACTCCCAATTCAAGGACCACCTACAAATCCCTTTTTGAACCGCATATCCTCGACTTATAATCCCAGAATTTGCTCTCTACCCACTATTCTCGACTTACTAATCGCCGAATGTGTCCTTAAATCTGCTCAATCGTTACTTTCATGCCTTATTTAGTTTTCTTTCTTCAGGTTACCGATGGTTCTCTTCGTCAAAAAGCATTAGGTGCAGATGGTTTGAGATTGTGGGTAGCCCTCTCTGCTGGTGAATCAGTGAGCGAGTCAAAAATTGGTGACAAGGTTCTGGCCGATGTGGAGTTGAAGGTAACCATCTCATTCGCTTAGTCTACCTGGGAATTGTCAGAATTTTACTTACCCTCTGTTTACTTGTGTTTATTATTATTAGCAACTCCCTGTTTTCTTATTTTTTCACTTCGCCTAGCGGGGAGAAGGTCGTACTTGGTCTGAGAAAATTTTTTTTACTAGTTGATTTTTCTTATTTCACGGACGCTATAAGGGGGGAGGGGGCGTATTTCCTCGTTGTTGGGAGAGGGGGACGTATTTGCCGTTGATGAGAGAAACTCGCTTCCCCCTCCCCTAGTTGGTGGCGCCGCCTTAGTTCTATACAACTAATATTTCTGATAGCTGAAAATAGTAGTTGACTGCTGACTACCTCATCCTCCCCCCGCTTCCCTCCGCTCCGGCGAAATTCCGAGGAAAACTAAGAAAT